CTGGGACTACAGGCGCCCGCCACAACGCCTGGCCATTTTGGTTGCAGCCATCATTGTTGTTTGGCGGGCCAGGGCTGGGGATTCGAACCCGCCACCTCAGGTGTATGTGGCTGGCGCCTTAGCCGCTTGAGCCACAGGCGCTGAGCCTATTTCAATGATTTTTAAAAGTTCCCACAAAGTTCTCAATGTCATCACATATCCAGACTTCAAGTGTTCTCAGAATGCCTCATCAATTTTCTCTTCACAGTTAGTCTGTTTGAATCAGAATCCTACCTGGGTCCACTTATTGCAATTGGTTGATAAACATTTTTTTTCGTCCCAGCAGCTTTATGAAAGAATAATCGGTATACAATAAATTGCACACGTTTAGAGTGTACAATTTGATACACGTTGGCATAAGTTTACACCTGTGAAGCCATCATCAATCAAGGTAATGAACACATCCATCACCTCCAAAAGTGTCTTCATGCTCCTTTGTAATCTCTCCTCCTGCTCCCCCCAACTGCAAGGCAGCCATTTATCTGCTTTCTGTTGCTAGAGATTAGTTTGCAACTGTCTAGAATTTATATAAAAGTAATCATGCAGCAGTGTTCTCTTTTGTCTGGTTTCTTTCAGTCACCATAATTTTGTTGAGGTCCATCCATGTCGTAACAGTATTTATCAATAGTTCACTTGTTATTGCTGAACTGGAGCTCATTTACCTGTTCTTGGATATTTGGGCTATTTCCAGTTTTGGGTTATTACAAAAAAAACCCTGCTATGGACATTAGTGTACAAGCCTTTGTATGAGCTGATGTTTTCTTTTCTCTTGGATAAATATCTTGGAGTGGAACAGCTGGCTCATATGATAGGTCAATGGCTAACTTTCTAAACAGTTGCCAAACTGTTTTCCAAAGTGTCTGCACCATTACTGTTCCACCAGCAGTGTGCCATTCAGTTCACCACATCCTGGCCAACTTTTAAGAGTTTTTTCATGTTCTAGATACAAGTCCTTTATCAGACATAGGCTTTACAAAATTTTTCTCCAGTTATATGGCTTGCCTTTTTATTTTCTACAGTGTTTATTTTTTTTTATTTTTTTGAGACAGAGTCTCAAGCTGTAGCCCTGGGTAGAGTGCTATGGTGTCACAGCTCACAGCAACCTCTAACTCTTGGGCTCAGTTTTTCTATTTTTAGTAGAGACGAGGTCTCACTTTTGCTCAAGCTGGTCTCGAACTCTTAGCTCAAGCAATCCACCTGCCTTAGCATCCCAGAGGGCTATGATTACAGGTGTGAGCCACTGCGCCTGGCCTCAACAATGTTTTTTAAAGACCAGAAGTTTTTCATTTTGAGGAAGTACAACTTACCTACATATTTATATACATACGTATATATATATGTGTGTGTGTGTGTGTATATATATACGTATATATATATGTGTGTGTGTATGTGTGTATATACATATATATATCAATGGATTGAGTTTTTAGTGCTGTATCTAAGAAACTATTTCTTAACCCAAGGTCATAAACACCTTTGTGTATGTTTTCTTCTAAAAGTGTTTTTTTTTTTTTTTTTGAGACAGAGTCTCAGTCGGTTGCCTGGGCTAGAGTGCCCGGACATCATTATAGCTTACTACAGCCTCAAACTCCTGGGTTCAAGTGATCCTGCCTCAGCCACCCAAGTATCTGGGGCTACAGGGGAGCACCACCACACCCAGCTAACTTTTCTATTTTGTGTAGAGATGGGCTCTTGCTTTTGCTCACGCTGGTCTCACTGCAACCTAAAACTCCTGGGCTTCAGTAATCCTCCTGCTTTGGTCTCCCAAAGTGCTAGGATTATAGGTGTGAGCTATCATACCTGGCTAAAAGCTTTTTAATTTTAGGTTTAAGGTTTAAAGTTTACATTTATGATCCATTTTGAGTTAATATTTGTACATGGTATTAGGTATGTATTAAAATTTTTTGCATATGGATATCCAATTTTTCCAGCACCATTTGTTGAAAAGACTACCTTTTCCCCACGATCTGCCTTTATACCTTTGTCCATCATTTGTTCTTATTCACGTGGGTCTATTTCTGGACTCTCTATTCTGTTCCTTTGAGCTGTCTCTTTTTTTCCTTTGATCTTTCTTTATGTTGATATCATACCATCTTGATGACTGTTGCTTTATAACGTATCTTGAAATCAGGCAGTGTTAGTCCTTTAACTCTGTGCTTTTTTTGAAAGTGGTTTTGGCTATTCTAATGCCCTCAGTATGAATTCTAGAATCAGTTTTTCAATTTCTACCAAGAAAGCCTATTGGGATATTAGAATAGTGTTGAATTTAAATATTGGTTTAGAAAGAACTGATCAACACTGAGTCTTCCAACTTATGAACATGGTATATATATTCATTTACTTAGATCTTCTCTTTAACTTGTATTAGAGTGTTTTGTACTTTATGGTGTACAGGACTTTCACATTTCTTGTTTGTTATGTATGTATCTGAGTATTTTGTATTTTTTGTTCCAGTAAATATTAGTTTTAATTTCTGATTCTTCATTATTAGTATATACAAATACAATTGATTTTTGTATCTTACAACTTTGTCCAACTTAGTTATTAGTTCTAATAGCTTTTTTGGAGATCTAATTGAATTTTCTACATAGACACTCATCTAGTTTATGAATAAGGACAGTTTTCCTTCTTCCTTTCCTATCTGGATGGCTTTCATTTCTTCCTCTCATTTTGTTGAATAAGTTAGAACCTCCAGTACAGTGTCAAATGGAAATGATCGGATCAGACTTCCCTGTCTTGCTTCTGATCTTAGGGAGAAAGGACTCAGACTTTTACCATTAAGCATGACGTTAGCTATAGGATCTTCATAAATGCCCTTTATCTAGATGAGGGAGGTCTCTTCTCTTCTTGGTTTGCCAGGGATAGATGTTAGATTTTGTCAAATGCTTCTTTTGGGTATAGTGAGGTGATTATCTGGTTGTTCTTTCTTGGCTTGTTAAGATGGTAAATCATATGATTAGTTTTCTAATGTTAAACCAACCATGCATTCCTGGGACAAATTATATGTATTATCCTTATTATATACTATTATATATGTTTAGAATTTTTCATCTGCGTGAGATGTTGGTCTGTGGTTGGTCTTATATGTGATAATGTCTGAGACTCATTTTGGTATTAAGGTGACACTAACCTTTTCAAAAACTGAGTTGGCAAGTATTCCTTACTATTCTGGAAGAGAATTGGTAACATCTCATCTTTAAATGTCCTTTACAGATTCAGCACCTGCAGCTCAAGTGGCTAGGGTGCCAGCCACACACACTGGAGCTGGCAGGTTTGAATCCAGCCTGGGCCCGCCAAACAACAATGACAACAACAACCAAAAAAATGGCTGGGCGTTGTGGCAGGCACCTGTGGTTCCAGCTACTTGGGAGACTGATGCAAGAGAATTGCTTAAGCCCAAGAGTATGAGATTGCTGTGAACTGCGATGCAATGGCACTCTACCCAGGGTAACAGCTTGAGATTGTCTCAAAATAAATAAATGTCCTTTACATTCACCAGTAAAGCTATCTAGGCCTGGGTTTTCCTTTGTGGGGAGGTTTTCAATTAGTGTCAATTTTTAAAATAATCATAGTGGCTCGGCGCCTATAGCTCAACCG